CTCTCTCAGTTAAGTAGTTTTGGTCATCATGCATGTTGTCAAAATTTGGATAAGTGTTGGAGATGATTTGCTGTATTGGATTTTCTGCCCTAGCTATTAAAAATTCGTCTGGTATTTTTATCCAAGTTGCATGCTCCTCACCTTCTTTTGCAATCGCTTGTATCTTCCCATCTCCAATGTCCAGCAACCATTTATTAAACTGTTTGTTGGCTACATCAGGTAATCCTTCTGCATTTGTTTCAGATACTCGCATGTTTTTTTCCAAAACAAAGACTTCACAACTTTTCCAAAGATAGGACCTGTTTATGCATGCTTCAACAATTTCTTGTCTCTTGCCTTTTGGTATAACTGGTAGTATTTGCCTAAAGTCTCCTCCCAAAACCACAATTTTGCCTCCAAAAGGTTTGTTTCTTGCAGCCTTATCTTTGAATCCTATTATATCTCTGAATGTTTTATCAACTGCTTCAAAGGCATACCTTTGCATCATTGGAGCTTCATCCCATATTATCAGAGATGTCTGTAATAATAATTGAGATAAATTTGTATTTTGTCTTATGCCACATGTACTATTCTGAAATAGCTCAAGTGGGATGTCAAATTGACTGTGTGCTGTTCTGCCTCCAAGTAACAATAGTGATGCGATACCTAAATGGCATTTTGACATATGTATAAGTGAAAGTAACACTTAAATAAAATTGAAGAAAATAATTTAATATTTTGTCCAAACCTGACGAAGCCACGGCCAAAGCTATTTTTCTCTCATATCTCAGTCTTGATAGTATTGTTTTGTACAAAAATGTCTTTCCTGTTCCTCCATGTCCATAAACAAAGAAGATGCCTCCTTCCTTTTGCTCCACTACATCAAGTATTTTGTGGTATATCTCTCTCTGCTGGTTATTTAATGAGATGTAAAAGTTATCATGATCTGCTTTCATCTTCCTAATGTCGTAATTGAGCTCTTCTTTGATCAGCCTATTATCAGCTCCAAATAAAAGATTCATGTTTGGTAATGGCATGCCATTATAATCGGACAATGATTTACCACTGCGATTTAGCATTCTTTCAAGCTTCAACAGACAATAGTTCTTGATTTGGTCTTCTGTGAATTTCAAATTTGGAAAATTGAATTGATGTACCAATTTGGATGGTATGTCCTTTGAAAGTGTTTTCCAATTGACTTCCCAAAATTGGATTGGGTCATTTACCTCACAGAAAAGTAGAATTGTAATGAACAATTCTCTTAGTTGAGGTCCAATCGCCCAGTGTCTCGCTTCATCAATTGCATCATTCCATTCTTTGTCATCACTAATTAATCCAAAAGCATAGCATGCCTGCTTGAATGTTGTGTGTTGTGTGCCATTCACATTTTTGAGCTCCTCATAGGTGCGAGGTCCTTGAACAACATTTAATAGAATACGCAAGTAATACCTTTCTCCAGATGTAGGGTGTGCATATGTAATTCTTCCAATTGTTCGACCTCTCTTTCTTTTAGTCCATTCTTTTCCATTCCAAACAAATTTTGTTGGGAACTCTGCATATGTCAATGATCTAGCCTCCTTGTTTTCTACATTCATTTCCATCCATTTGGTGAACATAGTGTCTTTGATCCCTTCTTGTTCGATGGCCTCGGTTA